TTAATTACATCGTGATCACCCGATATATTATGCATTAATTAGATCACCGATCAACATGTACCCGATCACGATCGGGTAACCCGTGATCGTACCTAACCCTAGCAATACCGATACAAGGGGTGTTGGTCATCAGCACGACACTGAACTATGACGTTAGTGCAAAAGATACACAACATCAATAACGAAAAGTGCTGAAATCCGAAACTATTATAAAAGAATTTAGAAAAGAAGAAATGCGAAAGTAGTGCTAATAACTAAATGAAAAAAAGACAAAGACACCAGACCAACAACGCCAGCGACAAATGATACCAACAACAAAAGCAAGACAAAAGTACCAACTAATGACAACATGACAAACACCAACAACAGAAGGATCGAAATCCAAAACCGCAAAACCTAAAGAAAAAAAGAAATGCAGTAAAAAAGAAAAAAAAATTTATGTAACCGGTAATGGTTACTGTTTGAAAATTAATATTAATAATCGGTAGCTTCGCATTATGACGAAATTAATATGTAATCAGTAAGTCAGTTTGCATCATAATGACATATGCGTGTCTGCATATGTAGCTACATCATATGGTATGCAAAAATCTTAACTCTTTGCAAAAATGGATAAATGAACTTAAAGAAGAAACAGGAAAGTTAGTACCAAGGACTAAACGGAGCAAAAAAAAAAAAACTGAACTACGACGCTAGTGCAAAATATACACAACATCAATGACGAAAAGTGCTGAAATCTGAACTATTATATAAAGAATTTAGAAAAGAAAAAATGCGAAAGTAGTGCTAATAACCAAATAAAAAAAAAACAAAGATACCAGACCAACAACACCAGCGACAAATGATATACCAAAATAGACGACACCAATGACAAAAGCAAAACAAAAGTACCAACTAACGACAACATGACAAACACCAATGATGAAAAGATTGAAATCCAAAACTGCAAAACCTAAAGAAAAAAAAATTGCAGTAAAAAAGAAAAAAAAATTTATGTAACTGGTAATGGTTACTGTTTGAAAATTAATATTAATAATTGGTAGCTTCGCATTATGATGAAATTAACATGTAATCAGTAAGTCAGTTTGCATCATAATGACATATTGTGTCTGCATATGTAGCTACATTATATGGTATGCAAAAATCTTAACTCTTTCCAAAAACGGATAAATGAAATTCATTACTCCTACTAAAAAAGAATTTTGCAAAAATCAGCATAAGCGACATCAAAAAAGTTGAAGGAAACCATCCCTACCACATTTCATGTTACACAAGA